ACACACACACACACACACACACGCACACACGAATGTGTTTTCAGTTACACGGTGGGATCTAGAAGAAAACCTCACAGGAGTTCTGCTTCTGGTAATTTGTTAACGTGAAGTTTCAAACAAGCTGCAGTGATTGGATTCATATTGAGTAGAAGGAAGGAAGGAAGGGAAGGAAGAAACATCTTTAAAATCTCACTGTCAAGAAAAGAGAAAGACAAAAAAAGAAAGAAATTTTAGTAAATGATGGCCCACTTTTTTTGTGCCCAAGAATTCTTAAAGGGTCGGATTGTAAATAAACCCCAAAGCAGGGTAATAAATGTATGCATCCTGAAATCATACGTAAAGACACACAAATATGCTGAATGTTTGTTATACTGGTGTCTCAATTGGTGTCTTCTTTACATTCCAACTGAATTATTTTTAGGCCCTCAATCCAAGCCTTATTGTTAGTGATGTTTGGAGTTTAAAAAAACTGTGGTGGTTTCTCAGCTAATATATGGACACATTGCCTAAAGCCAGTTTGACCACACTCAGCTCATGCAGAAAAATAATGAGAAGCAATATATTATATTAATGATAGTAAGAAGAATAAAACTGAGGAGCTCAGTGCATTGCATAATTATCTCAGATGCCTCTTTTTTCAAACAGGAAAGTTCATAATGCATGTGTTATTCATGTTTCAAAACCATGCTGCTAAGCTAAGGGCTTGTTTACAAAGCCCACTTGAAAACAAGGTTTAAGAAACTTCCTGGAAGTTTCTAAACACAAAGTGGTTTAGAGAAAGGACACAATCAGTTTTACAGATTTGATCACTCACAGGGAAAAATAAAGCAGGATTCAAAACTTGGCACTTCTTTGGAATCTCTGACCTGTCCTAGGAGCTAATAAAATATAGATCCTTTCCAGAAAAATGCACATGTAAATAAACCAATTTAAGTATAAAATAGGCATACAATTTGCTGCCTCATTTTTGTGCAGAAACAATCAGACCTGGGGTACCTGGTTGGCTTAGTTGGTAGAGCACACAACTCTTGATCTCAGAGTGGGGAGTTTGAGCCCCATATTGGGTTGTAGAGTTTACTAAACCAATTGTATATATATAAATCAGTCCTTGGGGCACCTGGGTGGCTTAGCCAGTTAGGTGTCCAACTCTTGATTTCAGCTCAGGTCATGGTCTCACTGTTAGACTGAGCCCTGCGTTGGGCTCTGTGCTGGCAGCGAGGAGCCTCCTTGCGATTCTGTTTTTCCCTCTGTCTCTGCCCCTCTCCCTTGCTCATGTGGGTGTTCTCTCTCTCTCTCTCTCTCTCTCTCAAAATAAATAAACAAACTTTAAAAATATAGTAAAAAATCAGTCCTTATATGTGACAAGCCTCCTTGAAGCTTAAAGAATATAAGTTGCTATAGACAGATGAAAGAGAATACAGAAAAGATGGTAAACATATAGAAGCTTGTTATACTAACAGCTATAACAGAATAAGATGAAATGACTTCAAGAGAAATTTATTACTGATGACCCAATGATTGGTATTAATAAATGGATTATAAAAGAGATGATTAGACCATTTGGGTGTCATCTGTAGCCAAAAGTGTTAACAGGAGCAACCATTATGCTGCCCGCCTCCAGGTGGGGATCCTATGCTATCAGATTAGAACCACTTTAATGAAGCAATTCTTATGCATGGGGCTATGTGATTTGAAAGTGCATTTGTTCCTTTAACAACTATTTACTGAACACATATTACATGCATAGTTCTGTGCTGAATGTTGGGCATACAGTAATGATTAATGCAAACATCTTGTTCTCAATGAGCTTACAGCATGGTGGGTAGCCAGATGTAAATACATCTTCAAAAGAATAAATACATGATTATAAACTATGGTAAGTGTTCTGAAGGAAACGCAAAACTAGGGGGACCATGTTCCAAATGGAGGAAACAGCATATACAAAGCCTTAGAGGTGAGAAAGCACTTGGTATATTAGAGAGAGGCTGGTATGGTTGAAACACGTTGAGTGAGGAAGAAGAGTGGCATGAAATAAGATCAAAGAGGTCATCAGGATTAGAGTAAGTAGGACCCTTTGGGACATGATGAAGATTTTGTACTTTATTCATGATGATGTGGGAATCTATCGACAGGTGTAAAGTTGAGAGAGACATGATCTGATATACATTTATTTAAAAGATCATTTTGGCTATTTAATGTGGCCTGGACGAAGGAAGAGCAAGAAGGGAAACAGTGGCAGTGATGGTACTCTGGAGAGACTGGTGAGGGCGTAGTCCACCCATAATCTCTATTAATTTACCCCTACACAGACATACACACACATGCACACATTCC